CTCGATTGATTGATCTCTCGGTTGATTGATTTCTCAGTTGATTGATTTCTCGGTTGAGTGATCTCCCGGTCAAGTGATCTCTGGGTTGGTTGATCTCTCGATTGATTGATCCCTCGATTGAGAGAGAAGAGGTGGAGGGAAGTGGGGGTAGGGGTGGGGTTGGGGCCCGGGTGGGGAGGGCACAATGGGTAGCGTGGGACACAATAGTTTTCAAAGCAACCGACGATCAATCGTTGGCTCGCTCAGGTGGGCCTCCTTACATCCTTTGTGAGCCGACGATTATATGGGGGGAGGTGGATACGATGACTACATCCAGATTCTGTACCCAGACTCTATACTATCTAGACATTGTCTCTAGATCTTGAATCCTCATTCTGCACACAAACTTTGTACTCAGATTCTAATCGTTGGATCCTATATGAGGGTTTATAAAAGAGGCGAATGCGAAAATTGCAGAATACATTCAGATTCTGCACCTAATCGTGCAGCCGTGAAGTCTGTCCGCCAAGGCAAAATCACTTAAAAATGGGTTGCAGGTTGCAGGACTCAACTGCAAAGACCCTCCAGCGCACCGTGCGTCTCCAAGATTTCCTGCCTTGGCGGACAAGCTTCATGGCCGCACGACTAGAATCTGCACTTGAATTCTGCATTTAAAATCCATATTCAGATTCTATACCCAGATTCTGCACTCAGCCTTTGCACCCAGACTCTTCACCCAGAATCTATACCTATTAGACCTCAATATCTCGACTTCACATCCAGACTCCATACTCAGACTCTACATTCAGACTCTGCACTCAGACTCTGCCGCATGCGGGCAACCTAATCACACCCATTCCAGGTAAAATGACCAATACCACGAAGACCAACAAACAAAACAAACAGCAGACACATCTTTATCTTTCATTCTACATTCCTCATTCCCTTGTGCCCGACCTCTCCTTGTTCCTTTCCGCCCTTATCATGGCCAAACATCGTCGTCGTCTCTCTCTTGACCCGCCCGCCCTCTCTCTTGTGGCTACTGCTCCTGCTATTTCTACTAGTATTGTTATTACTTCTCTCTAATACCCCAATTCTCATCCTCATCTTCATTCCATATCCTGGCTATGCTCTGGCTTCTTTCGTGCTTGCTTGCCGCGGTCGGGGCTGCGTTTAATTACTACTTGAACGCGACCTCGTGCCGTGCCGCGACCGACCACAATACCGCGCTCGCCCTCTATCCTCCTGCCGCCGTCACCACCGACCTCTCAACCGCCGCCCGCCGCTTCATTGCTATCATCAGCCATGACGCCTCTTTCGCGGCCGAGCTTCGTACCATCGACCTTAATCCTTCTGCCAACCTATGGACCGACTACCCTTTCGATATCTACTTCGGCCACCGCCCCGCGCGCAACCGCAACACCTCCCCCGCGACCCAGCACGAGAAGGATCTCCACGCGCGGACGGCCCATTTATACCAAGCCCTTCTCGACCTTCCGCATGATGTCCATGCTATCTTCTCCGCGCATCGCACCGAGCTCGAGACATTGGATCGCGCCTTGAATATCTACGTCTTCAAACGCGCATGGATCTATACCAATCCGCTCGTAACGATGTGGTTCCGCAACTCGACCAATTGCCGCCGCTTCTTCCCGTTGCGCTTCTTGCCGCCCTTTCTCCCGCTTTATCCTCTCACGACCGCGTCGTACACTTCCGCCTCATCCCTCTTCACGACATACTCGCGCATCTTGTTCGCAAACGCGTACCGCCTTTCGTACTTGAACGTCACACTCGCGACTATCGCCGCCGACTTGGCGATCCTAGAGCCGGAGATGCACGCGCTGGTCGTACAAACGGTTCCGCCGCCGGATCAGCGTGTCGAGACGGAGTGGATCGATTGGTGGGCGATACGAGATGAGAAGGGCGGAGAGGAGATACCGTGGCTACATCTCAGTCCGAGGCTGAGAGAAAAGGTATTGAAGTGGAAGGTCTTTGCGGAGGGGGCCTATACCGTACCAGTCAAAGCGTGGGGGAATGGGGTCGGGGAATGGGTCAAAGGGTTGAAGGCGAGGGAGGGAAAAAGGGTGGAGGGAGAGGATGAGGAAAGGGAAGAGGTGAAGGGGGGGATATGGAAAGAAGATAGAAGAGGAGGGCAGAATGGAAAAGGAACCGCAGGAGGGTGGGAGATCTGGGACCATCATAATCGAGACCGGTGGCTGAGGATCCGGGAATTGGCGTGGCTCGTCAGAAAGGTCAGGCGGGATGTGGAAGAGGCGAGGGAGATAGTAGAACGGGCGAAAGAAGGTCTCGAGATGGTTATCAAGAATAGAAACTGAAACGGCTATTGAGGATGAATTAAATGCTTTCTTCCTCTTGGTCTTGAATGTAAACTGAAGATTCAATCTGATTCGAAGGTATATTTTCCTTTCTCCTTCTCACGGCTGCAGAATGCGGCTGCAAATTCTACACTTGCACTCTGCACTTGCTTGCACTCCGCATTCTATACTTTGGATTCTGCACTCTGCACTCTGTATTTTGCATTGCTAGCATTCTGCACTCTACACTTTGCATTTTGTACTTTGAATTCTGCATTCTGCATTTTGTACTTTGGATTTTGCATTTTGCAATTTGTACTTTGTATTATTAACATTTTATATTCTGCACTCTGCATTATATACTTTGGATTCTGCATTCTGCACTTAGCATTTTGTATTGCTAGCATTTTGCATTCTGCACGTTGCATTTTTTATTCTGCATTCTGCATTCTGCATTTTGTACTTTAGATTCTGCATTCTGCTTTTTATATTCTGCATTGCTAGCACTTTGTATTCTGCA